TACATACATATACACACATATACACACATACATACATATACATACATCTATACATACCTATACATACATATACATACATATACATACATATACATGCATATACATACATATACATACATATACATGCATATACATGCATATACATACATATACATACATATACATACATATACATACGTATACATACATATACATACACACATGCATACATATAAGGTGCCTTAAAGATAGGATCTGGTTACAAGGACCTCTCGAAAGATAGAACCGACCTAGGAAGGCCCTGAGAACCGGCCCAGAGGCTGGGTGAAGTTCGGCTTCTCGATGATCAGGGAAGCCAGGACCGTACACAGGAAGCCTGTCGCTCTAGGGCGGGGTTTGGGGTTTAGAGTTTAGGGTTTAGGGTTTAGCGGAAGGAAAGTGGTTTCCGCGTTCATCACCGAGATGCACGGCCCCCCGCCTTTGATGTAGTCCCAGAGGGCGGCGGTCGGGCCAACGGCGAAAGAGAGGAGAAACAGCATGACCTGACGGTCTACACGGGGTCTAGGCAAACCTGACGAAACGAAGGATGCCTTGTAAAAGGTACAACCATCAAACAGTGTGATGTAAGACGATGTTGATGATAGTTCTGCTGTGGTTCGGGCGACGACGATGGTGATGACGATGGTGATGATGACGACGATGAACGGTGCGAAGGGGACGAAGGTGATGCAGGTGATGCTGATGGTCTTGCCGTTGCTGGTGAGGACGGCACCGATACAGCTTTGAGATTAAACTGTCGACGACCCCAGTGGACTGAGGACACCGGCTGGCTGTCTCTTCATGTGATCTGTTGACGACAGATGGTGAAGATGATAAAAATGATGATGGTGATCATCATGATGGTGGCTCATGAACATGACGGTATCGAGATGCTGAGATTGATGGTTGTGACAACAAGGGTACGAATCAGAATACGACGACTGTGCCCATGAAACAAACGTGGTCCATGGCGACCCTAACTGATAAAGCTGAAAATGATGGTGGCGGTGATGATGAGGAAGACTAGAGTGGCGTACAACGTGTTGATCCATATGACGCTGAGGATGAGGATGATGACCATATGGCGAGTGATAAGGGGAACATCACATCCGGGGCAGCGAGGCGAAGGATTCTGACGAAGATGAGAGCTGTAGCTGCAGAGCGGTACGTGCAAACGAAAACACAGAGGATGTTGTCAATGATGGTGTTGACCAGGATGACAACATCACGATTGATGAAGCTGGAGTGGTGATCTTGATGATGATGTCGATGCCGATGCTGCCTGCGGTGGGTCGCTGCTCTGTGCGGATGTCACTATTGTGGTGGAAACATTGGAGAAGATGGTGATGCCGGCGGCGCTTGCGATATCGGTCGTGATGGCGACCGGCCTCGTACCAGGAGAACAGGCACAAACCTCGCTTCGAGAGGCTGTGGCAGCTTCTTGCGGTCACAGACTGCTGGAACCTGGCACCTAGTGTGACCGCCTATGTGGGTATTTCGTTTCCTTGTGCCTTGATCGCTTATTTCTGGCGACTTCGGAGGTTTGAGTGGCTCAAACAAGTGCAATAAAGGTGTGAGATGAAGTGCATCTGCAGATGGCAGAGGCATCATCCAAGTGAAGACACGTGGCGATCTGCATCCATACTTAGATTGGCTTCCTGAGCCCCTACCCACCTGCGCAACAGCCTCGCTGCAAATCGGAACGAGCCCATCGCTTCCAGCGGAGACGGAAGGCTTGAAGAAAGCTTGAATTTAAGGTTTAGGGTTTCGGGTTTAGGGTTACTGTTCCTCCGGCTGATTGAAAGTTTTCCAGGCCACCGTTTTGGTGCAAGGGCTTCGATGCAGTTGCGCTGGTCCCAACTTTTTGGCGGACGAGGCTCAGAACCGGGAAAGGCTTCAAAGGATCGGGAACTGAGGGGTCTTTTGGCGGTAGGGTTTGGGTTTAATGTAGGGGCCTAAATAATTGCCTATACTGTTTTGAGGGCTCAGAACACAGGCGACAGCGCCTGATTGCTGTAGCCCCAGGCCCCCACGCCATGGCCCCGGGGGGAAGGGGGGTCGCCTAGAAGCCAAAGGATCAAGGCACGGCAGAGGAGTTTGCGGCTGGCTTC